CTGATCCCACTGCCCCCCCCACTCCCAAGGAGCAAGGGGGGGGGGCCAGGCCAGCTCTGGTGGCCTCACCTCCCCCACCCCCGCTCCATTATCACTGCCTCCGGGGAGCAGGGGGGGGTGGGGGGGGCACAGAACAGTGAGGGCTAGCCTAGCCCCTGTTCCATCTGCTCCATTGCCACCATCTCCACCCCGTTCCTCTGCTCTCTTGCCACCCCTCCATCCTGTGTCCCCACCATCATAGTGGTGCTCCGCCATGCCACCACCTCCTGTCCCAATGCTGTATTTGCACTCTGATCGGTTGTTTCAGTCAGCCAATCAGAGTGCAAATAAAGCATTATGGACAGACAGACAGAGCCTTTTATAATATTAGAATTTACTAGTATGTTTTTCATACCTGGCACAAGTACAGGAACATGTTGCGTCAGGGCTCCAGGTAACACATTTACCAGCTCAGTTAGCATGTTAAAGCAACACTGACGAGTCTTTACACTCTTCTCTTTCATCTGTTTGTGTAAGGCTTTAACTATATTGGGAACCTGAAATTATTACATATCTGTTAATTAGTTTAGCAGTTATCACTTCCTTTGCACAATTACCCTAGATCATGGGGGGGGAAAACCTATCTCCCTTCACTTTGATTCTTTAGATAAGCTTTATTCCCATTTAAACTGACACTTAAGATAAAGTTTCATATGTTCAAATCAACCCATATACTGAGAAATTTTTAGGAAGATTTAAAATTAATCTTACTTAGCCAAATATTAGGTTCGCTCTTTTAAAGAATTTCTACAAACAAATATTAATTGTACCGCTATACTAGAACAGTTCAGAGAAGGTGTATTTTGTCTGCACTACCACACCGCTATTGTTTCAGTAAAGTGTTCTAAAAATCCCTGCCTTCTACCTAAAAATCATGTCGCTTCACTTTCATTGTATGATTTCTTTTCATATTTTGAATTTAGTTGAACAGTTATAATAGCAGATAAAACTGGCAGAATTCGGTGCTTCGACTCCATAGCATTCTTAGAGAGGACAGTGAAAGCTTCAAGTTAGGTAAGTGCTTCTGCTTCTGAGTCCAACAGGTAATTGCAGTTCCCAAATCAATAGCAGCTTTAGGGGCCAAATTATCCTACACCATTTTATAATGTGCTGGCATATGGGTTCTGACTATACAACTCCAAACTCCATGGTATCAGAAAGCAAAGAACAAATCGTTTTGGGCCATCAAAGAAACAAAAATTATGCCAGCTAACCTGACTCTGAAGCATTGTCAAAGGTGTCTCTCCTTGTTCCATGGCATCAGGATCACAAAGCCAACTCTGCACAGGTCGAGTTTGTTTTAAAAGAGAAAGATATGCATGGAAAACATCTGCTTTTACATTCTCCTCACGCTCTTTGAATCTCGCTATCAAAGCAGGGGATACTGTCTTGTAGAATTCTGGAAGCATTTCATGCCTTGTGCTAACCACTGCATCCAAGCATTTAGCAGCTGCACGCCTCACTTTCCAGCTCATATCATCATCATCACTATATTCATCATCACTCCCTTGAAAAAATAAAATAAATCATCACATGGAAACTTTAAACCAGACAATTCAGGCCAAGTTTTGTATAGAATGATATTTTACCCATTTCATGCATAAAATGTATGGGAGGGTCTTTACACTTGATAAGACCTACCAAAGACATTAGCTTAAGGGATGTTAAGAATCACTTGGTCCATAACCAAAAATAAAGAAAAGGTCATTCAAGCTGCCTCAAATCTAAATTTTAATTACTTCTTTTGCTAGTTTCCTCAGACTGGTCTCTCACATCTGGCCCCTCATTAACTTCTGTTGTGAAAAGGGGTTCGGTTTCTTTCATTACATCTAGGACATCACTGAACTTTTGAAGTACAAGGCAAAAATTAACAGCAGACCAAAAATTCTGAAAGCTAGTCTGTTCATAATGTTTTACTCTTATTACGGGTATCATACCAGCAGAAGGGGGTCATAAAATCTGGCTGCAATATTGAAGAGATCTCTAGTTTTAATAGACAGTTGATTTTATTTACTGTGACACTCCAGAATTATAGTCAGATGCCATTTCACAGACAAGGGGTCAATATGCAAACAGTGATCACTGAAAGCCAAAGCTCATCAGTGTTTAGGTACCAATACTCAAAAAGCCCAAGGCAGAATTGATCTAAGTTATGCAGTTTTCTGTACGATATGTAGTTTAGATTGGTAGCAAACAGAACACACATTCACTCTTTGATGGGCGAGGGAGGGAAGGGAAGGGAGCAAATCTTAGGTTCTGTCATTTTTAAACCAGTCTGTGTGTGCTAAATTTCTGTTTTGTTATGGGTATAGACCGGTTTCCAATCAGTTATACTAGTAAAACTGTAATGTCTGTATCTGATCTTGATTTAGTTGAGGTTCACAAGTTCTTCCCAAAGCCAAAAAAAAATACCTTGATCATCATCATCGCCACCATCTGCATCCATAGCATTTTCATCTTCATCTTCATCATCATAATTGTAATTGGGATCATAAGTAAGGTATTTAAGACAAATGTTTATAATAGTAGACACATGAGGATAAACTTCTTTAGGACATCTGCATGATAAACACACACACAAAACCTCATCTTCAAGAATTAAATAACAAACAGAAGGCATTTAACACTGGGCACTTTGTTATGGGGTCCATTAGCAAAACTGAAACAGTCAAAACCTCATTGTAGATGTTTTTCCAGAATTCAACTCATTCAGCTATAAAAATGCAATCCAATTGAAAATTGGCACATAAGACCTCAGGCCACAAAGAATACAAATAGAGATAGGATAAGCTTGTAGAACTAGAAAGAGAACATGGAGTTCTATCAGCAGAACAGAAAGCAAAATACAAATATAGTTCACTAGTAACTTGGCAGTGATACAGTCTTGTTCTCCATAATTTAGATACCCCAAATGCTATCATAATAATCATTATCATCATTAAGCAGTGGTAAAGGAAGCAAGCAAATCTCATTCTTTCAGAAAAAACACAATGGACAGGCAGCAAAGAAAGCATGCTTTACACTGTCTAGGATTCAAAGATAAAAAAAAAAAAAAAAAAGATAATTCAGGGCCCCCTCAAATTACCCAGTGTGATCTGTTTAAACACAGGCTCTGGAATCTCATGATCTATTTGTGAAACTAAGTTGTTTCAGGTTCCACTAATGAGGATCAAGCACTATCCACGAGCACTGTATTGATTAAAATACGAAGTAATATTTTTTTACTTTGTCCCTGAGGCACGAATAGCATTAAAATGCCATACTTTTGTGTAAGTCAAGAAAAATTATGGTGGTTATCAGTTAAATAATAAAACACTAATAAAATATGATAAGCTATACTATATTTCAAAAATAAGTAAGCAAAGATCTCTCATAACAAACATCTCCATTAGTAAAGGAACCATGTGCTATGTGGTTTATTACAATGCTTTTTAACTGCTCAAGAACTGGCAGTAAAACACCTTTGTAATCAAACAGTACATAATCTCTAAGAAAATCCACACTTAAGTGTACTTGAAAAAAACAACTTACCGCCTCACAAAGGATTCAAAGGCTTGAATGCAGTACTCTCTTAGTTCATCATCATCCACATTACAAAATTTTACCACCAAAGGGATTATTTTCTCAAGATATTCACCTGATAAAGAAAGTTGGAATAGTAATTAGTCACATCTAAAAATATTCAGAGTTACCAAAAAAAATATGCATTCTCTTACCTATTCTGTGACCAGCTTGCCTACTGATAGCAGCAATACATTGTATATAGGTCCTAGTTGTTGACATGGAATCATTTTTAGACAGCTCTGTCAAGAGGTGTTCAATGAGGTCAACAAAAACTATATTGCCACAACTCATAACCAGATGACCAAGAGCAATGATGGTTCTTTTCCTCACAGCAAGTCTGGGGCTAGTCAGCTGGGGGAGCAGACAGGTCAGAATTGAAGGATGGAAGTTAACAAGCAGTCCTCCTTGCCTTTAAACAGACAAAACACAAACTCAAACCAATTGAACCTAGAAAAGATGTTATTCTTATATTGTACCACACAAATAATCAAATTAAGATCCTAATATCGTATTTAGAATTATTTAGGAGAAAAAGTTACTGCTTTCAGACACATTTTAATCATATTAATAAAACTTTAAGAGACTTTCAGCAATGTCAAGATAGAGGAATCAATTAGTCCAATAGTCATTAAGCTTAAATGCATTCTAATATTAACGCATTTGTTCTTCTACAAAGTTTCATTTGTATTCATTCTCCTTAATATGGATCAAGTTATACAACTATTTCACATCTTTATAAAGCTTAAAGTATAACCACGTTAAGGTTATTCAATAGAAAGCAAATAAAGTTTTGGGGGCGGTTGGGGAGGGGAGGAGGGCGTGCAGAATTTATCCACTTAAAGTGCAGCATTGTGTGGAATAGATGTTTACCTGCTCAGCATGTCAGCCATTATGTCCAAGGCCTCTAGTTGAACAGACACATCTTCCTGCTTGGCTATAGCACTAGTAAGACGCCCTGTGATCTTTTTACAAACATTGGCTGCTAAGGCAGATCCTGAAAAAACAAAACCATGACATTTTCCTAGTGAAAACATACACGTCTAATACCAAATTTAATATGTGAAAGTATGACAAGTCATTTGGACATGCCATTAGGAGCACATTTCTCACAGAACCACTTCCTTTCTGACCTCCATATCCTCGCACTCAAATGAAGTTTACCTAACACTTTAAAAAGGCAAACTTGGGAACAAAAAATTAATCAGTCGGATGTATACTAAGAACTAAGGACTAAACAGAGACGTTGGTTTTATGGCACACTATATTTTACCCGACTCCTAAATTCTTTCCAAACATAAAAAATGGGACTGACCCTCCTCTGTCTCGATCTCCCTGTAATCAGCTTTTCTTCTGCTAATTGGGGCTGTGCCCAGACGTGCGTGGATGTTTGGTTCTCCAAGGGCAACTAGCAGTGGTGCACCTTGTACAGCCACTAGCTGCCCCCAGGGAATGCCTGTGCAATGCATACTCTGGCACGCAGCAAGTTACCCTGGGTGGGGCAAGGGAAGCCGAGGCCAGCACTGGGGTGGCCCCAGCAGCCTTACCAGGGTTTTGGGGACCTCCCAGGGCTGCAGCAGCAGCAATCCTACCGCGCGGAACCTGGCTGGCAGTGAACTGCAGCTCCAGCCAGTCGGGCTCTGGCTTTGGGCAGTGCATGCTGCTGCCGTGCGCGCCACTTTGCTTTCCCCCACCCAGGTTTTTTTTGATCCCTAGATATCCTGTGCCTAAACAGCTTGCTTAGAGTCTTATATAAAGAAAACAATGAAATTGGAAAACCAGTATAAAAACCATAAAAGTTAGCAAGGGTCTTCACAGCAGATATAAACTGAAATTATTTTCATGACCTTTTTAAAACTGACTTGATAGCAAGTCTATGTCTATTTCAGTATGAAAGAGGTAACAGTATTTATAACAGGGGTGGGCAATTATTTGAGCTGGAGGGCCACTTAAGTTCTGGGGAGCTGTTGAGGGCTACACACACAAAATCTTGTAGAAGACATCATTTTAACAAAGTATAGATTTTAAAAAAATCATATACTTAAAACCAAACATCTATTATAACATTTTAATTTTATTTCAAAAAAACTTTTTCCTGATTTTTTTTCTCCTAGTAGTGTATATAGAGGCGACTGCATAATAGCTCAAAATAAAGTTTCTCTCTAGTATGTTGTATGGGGGAAAAGGCTGGAGGAGAATGTGGCGGGTAGGGGTACACACAGGCGTGTAG